CTTTCATGCTTCCTCTTGGACTTTAGCTGATGTGCCTACCCAAATCTTTAGCCACGTTTTCTCTTCTCAACCTCACCATCAAAAGAAATAACCACCTGAGGTCTTGACCAAATGCTGCTCTCTTTAATTCATCCCTTCTCACCTTTTCTCTCACTTTCAGCATTGCCTGTCTGCTCCCTGCTGTGTCTCTTGGGTCTCTCTCAGCTTCTTAGCTCCTCAATGTGAAAGGGGGCTGCTTTCAGCTCCTTCCCTCCCTGACTCATCTCTTCTACTCCCAACTCTCAGTCAGTTTCCCATTTTCTTTCTTTTCCCAATTTTCTGTGGGGTTTTCCCCAGCCTTCCTACTCTCAGTTCCCAAAGGACAATGCTGCACAGTGCTACCTCACTGCTTCTTTCAGTTCCCCCACAAATCTGGCAGGATCTGTCATCTCTCTCTCTCTTTTTTTTTTTGCACTGAACTTCTCAGCTCGCTGGAGCGTGGCCTGCCCACACTTGCACAGCATCTAGCAAACAAAACCTCCACTCTGCAACCACCATTTCTAAGAATTAAAATAACATTTATCATTCTTCAACACTGTTCCTCTTCTCTCCCATCTTCCAAATTACAGTCTTAATCAGTACTTACAAATAATTTTGCCGTTCTTCAAATTAACCTAATGCTGTGCTTCCTGATTCTCTGAGAATATCTCAGCACTTAGTAGTCATATAATTAACCCTGGAAGTATGCAAGTGTTTTTACATATACAGAAAAGCAAAGCATTACTGAAGCAAATTCAACTGCACTAATATGCTTTTATTATTTAAATCATTAAAATAACTGACTTAACAAATAAAAAGGTTTTACTGTCACAAAACTGTTCTTTAAAGTTGTACAAAAGATTACAGTCCAATGACCTCATCAAATACACTAAATGAAGAATTCTAGCGAAGCCTAACTTTTAAGCTATTTTCTACACACGCAAGGGTGTACATAATAGATAATGTATTACCTCTTGACCAGAAACTGTAACATACTCTGCAGAAGGATTCTTAATCTGTTTACGAATGTCCGGCAGATGCAATTGGATTTTAGAAAGCACATCCAGGATCTCCTCTTTTTTCTTTCTGATGACAGGGAAGTCTGTAAGGTCCTTGAACAATTGTGTTTTATCTCCAGTCCTATCCATACGAAGCACAAGATGAAATAACGGTAAAACCAAAGATACATTCCCTGATTCTACTGGCTGCACCCATATTTTCATTTGTTATTCTAGTTTGTTTTAACACTAACTTTACCCTCCTCTAAATAACAGCTTTTCTGTCACTTGGTCATAGTACAGCACATTTAGAAAAACTGCCATAACACACTACATAAACAGAAAGGCACTTTGTATATGAACTCTAAGTGGCTTCACCAAGATCTGTCCCTTCCAATGGATTCAAAACCAATCTATATCTGTTCCTTTCTAATCCATCACATCATGCTCGTTCTTCTGTACCAAACCTTTTTTTTTTTGGTTATCTCTGAATGTGCATCCTGTGGCTTTCAGTTCTCCCTCAGCTGGGCAGAGCAAGAAAAGGAAGCACAAGAAAAATCATTCCCTTCTGTCTCCGTCTGTAATTCTGGAATGCAATTACTGCCGCAACCTGGAGCATCTCAAGTGCTGACAAAGTCTTTATTGTGATTAAATGTGAAGCTCTAGGTAATTTCTGCATAAACACAAACACATATTTTTTATGTATTTAGAATTTGGCCAAATTTGGGCAGATTTTCCTGAGGACTGCAAAGAAAAATGCCTCCACTAGGCCTTCATCAAAGCAGAACGCCATCAGGAGTTTCTCGGAGTAGCGGGATTTTCTCAAGAAAAGATTAACCAGAGAGTTTTTTAACACATGCAAAACAATGCTCTAGGCTCAATCTCAGAATAGGACAGAGTTGTTTTGGCTGCACTGTTTCAGCTCAGGATTGAAACCTGGAACAGTCAATGCCATTCACATGTTTAAAACTAGTAAGTTGAACAAACTATTAAAAATATTATTGTCATAAAAATAATAAAAATTTAAGTTATCCTAATAAGTATCAGGCAAACAATAAAAAGTAGTGCAATCAGCCTTATGTTAATTGGAATATACATTTGTATTTTAGAGAAAATACAAAACTGTACCAGTTAATTACATAATTACTCTGAAATCTAATATTTGGAGATCAAGTAATTAGCAAACTGAAAGTAACAAAACATGGAAGTAATAAAAAGTCCAATATTCTATCTACTGTGATACCCCTTTGCCTGAGAATGAAACTGCAACTGAAGCCAGTAACAAGACAGGTAACACAAAGCTGTGCTTCGATTTTGCATTACATGGATGTCATTATTATATAAGTGACAGTAAAAATGCCATTTAAATGCCAATTACAATACTAATTTTCAGTAATGATTTTGTGCTAATTAGACCTGTTTCCATGGGAATGCAAGGGAAAAAAGAAGATCAGTAGTAGCCAGCAGCTAACTGTGAAGACTGTCACTGCTATATGAGGGCTACAAAAATTTAAAAAGTTGGCAGTTTAAAAAACCCACAAAACCCTAAGTTTTGAACTCCATTGGAGCAGAAGGATACTTTTGAAAACCACTACTGAATTCTATCCATATCACATAATAAAATTAACATTTGATGCAGTATACATATGTGTGCACAAGTGTATGTGTGCATGTATGTATATAAGTAGTCATCACGATTTTGATGAAGGATTTTTTGAGTACAAATAATATTGCCATGGAGGTTTGAGATGTATAAAGGCCAAAAGGCAAGTTATTTTACTCATCTTGAATAAATGCAATGAAATATATGCATTCTGCAGATCAATAATGATATCTTCTACTATTTTATCTTATTCTAGCTATCATCAACACAGTGACAGAAAAAAACCCCATTATTTTAAACCTACCTAGAGTAAATATGGTATAATTAAGATATACTCTGTTTTGTCATAACCTGGCACAACTATAATTGGATACCATGCCTCAGTAGAAATCTCATAATCCCACTTGTCCAACAGGCATAGCAAATATTTCTACTCTTCTCAACTTCTAAATTTATACACGTTATATCTGTCTCTAATTCAGAAGCAAATAAAGTAAGTTCTATGCTTTAATTCTTAAATTTGTTTAATTTTAAATCTCAGCTGGAAAAAGATTAAAATGATTTTATAAATAAATTGGATGTTTATTTTTGGTCTGTTTTGAAAATAAAAGATCAAGACTGCTGCTCCAGTATAACTAAACATTAAACTATATACCACATCTTTAATCCAAGAATCTCTAAATATATCACAGTTAATTATATCTCATAATATTAAACATGAGTGTGACAGTTTCACTGGGCTAGCCCTTGGCTAGCAGTCAACACAGCCATTCACCCAATTGCCCCCAACCCCCAGGAGATAGGGGAGAGGATTGGGGGCAAGGGTAGAGAGACTCACAGGGTGACATGAGGACAATTTAATAATAGAGATGAATAAAGAAAACTTAAAATAATACTAATATTAAAATAGTGATGATAACAGTAATAGAATAAACAAATGAGTGATACCCAGTGCCACTGCTCACCACCCACCAACTGAGCCTGGCCCATTCCCAGATAACGATCGTGGAGGAGCGACAATCCCAGGAGAGCGAGAGCCTGAGCAAGAGCCAGAGAGAGCCAGAGAGGAAGAGCCCCTCACTAATGTACTGACCGTGATGGGATATGACATGGAATATCACTGGCATATCTAAATGTCAGTTTAGCTTATTAATTTAAATATTCCTAGCCCCCCTTACATCTTGCACTTGTGGACTGACAGAACACAAAGTCCTTCACTTCCAGTGACAAAAATGCAAACACTGGGATGTTCTCAGTGTCTCTGTCATAACAAGTCCCGGCTGAAAGCAAAACACAGCACTGTTCTAGCTACTGAAAAGAAACCCAGCTCTGTTCCAGCTAAAATCCAGGACAACGAGGAAATAGTCAAAGTTAAATGAAACTTGCTCATTGCAGGGAAGTTTAGGATGATCTGGCTATAAAGCTGGCTGATACTAATTTTGTGCTCAGAATGTCCTCTCAACGTGTTGTGTAAACAAAAACTACACTGAAAGGAAACCAAAAATCTGCAAAGTCAAGTGCTCAGAAAGGTTGGCTGTGCAAGCCAGAAAGACTGTCTCTGTGCCTAGCACCGTGAGAGAACCTTTTTCAGAAGATTTTATACTGCCCTTCTTCTGAAAGATGGTGACTTTTACTGGCCAGAAGATATTCTTCCTAAATCCTGTCCCCTCAGAGGTTTTTACACATCACTATCTTACTGAACTCACGTTCTTGCTTTACTATTCTTCATCTTAATCCTCCTGCATTCTTCTTCCTGTGGTTAAAACTAGGGGTATCAATGCAGGCAGCAATTCTTCAGAAGAAACAGTACACAACAAATTATTTAAAGACATTCTCCCTTCTCCCTTATAATGCATATTCATTCCAATTTATCATATTCTTCTTTTGTCTACCATTTTTTTTCTCAGACCAAGGAAGGAGAGAATTAAGACAAAAAGGGGCAGACAGCCTCCATACTTTCAGCTCGCCTCTCCAAGACTGCAGGAGGACAATCGCAGAGAAATACCTGATCACACCCAGAGCCTGAGGCACGTGCTTGTTCAGTCTGCACCCCAGAAATGCTCTGAGGGGTGTAAGTCTCATAGGCTACATGCAATCTTCAGAGCTATTAAACTTCATATTCTCTGTCATTAGTAAGTATGTAAAGAGATTTTTATTAAAAAGGATCGGAGTCACTCAAAGCTTTGATGAATTTTCAGAAAAACAGTAAAAGGCGTGTTTCTGACAGCAGAGCAGCCACTCTGCTCAAGGTCAGGTCTCTCTTCAAAAGGAATAGCTTCACTATTCAGAAAAATAATTAAAAAGTTGTTAAACAAATTAACATGAGCAAAACATGTTTTGCCCTAAATTAATTCCCCAAAACAGCTGAAAAACTTTCAAAAAATTATTCCACCTGAGGCAGATACCCACTAGGCAAAATACCTGCCTGCCTAGTTTAATTTTAAAAGATTAATATAAACTGTAGAAAACAACCTCTGTTTTAAATATAAGCAACATGTACATAGATAAAAATAAAATAAAAAATATAAAACTAAGGTATACTAAACCAAAGATGCATAATTCACATAGCTGAATACATTTAGTCAGGAAGCCTACAAGGCATGGAAAATCCACCTATTTTCTCTACTTACTTGGCTGCTTCTTCATTAAGGATCTTTAAATAATGTTTTACTGGTGACAGAAGTTCTGGGATTTCCAACAGTGCATTTTGTAATAGAGGAGTTTTCACATGAGAATGTATGACTGGAACAAGAGCTTGAATTTCCAAGTCCAGGCGAGACAGGGTGCTGACTATCAAGAAGAACTCCTGGGTTGAGCACTGAGAAGGGAAGCAATGTCTAAATCATTACAATGTACTGTATTTTCATTAAATCCTACAGGTTTGGTTTACTTTCTTTTTGAAAATAAGACAAAACACAGTTAAAATGTATGGACTGGAACACAACTGCATAATCTTATCACATTCATGAGGTTAATAAAGCATATTATAGGTTTTAACCATTGTTGTTAGGAATCAGTCAAAAGCTGATCTCCGTTATTCCTGTTGCTGGTGGGAGATGTGCAACACACACGCAGTATACAAATAGGAGAAAACTGGAGTAACGATGTGCAAACAGCAAAAAAAGCAGGTTGAGGAATTTTATGAGTACCACAACTTGTCTATATGGGCTTGTGCATCTGTATGCTGTTACCTGAATCCCAGGCTGCAGTTTTGGCAAGAGGGGTTAGGCACAGAGAGGGACAATCTTGGAAAAAGAACACAGAGAAGAAAAGAGGAAAAAAACCACAGACAGAGAAAACCAGCAGTCACTGCTTAAAGTGCTTGTAGCTACTGCCAGCTTCAGCCTCTGTCTGGTTACTCCCAGGTCTGTGTGATGAGAAGGCTAAGGATAACACACTAGCCTGGTCTTTGCTTTCATCATCTCCTCACTACACAGTTATGAAGGAGATTTTTCAGTCTCTTTCATGCAGCTAGCCAGGGTATCATCGAAAGGGAATCTCCCAGATCGAAGCCAATAGCACACAGTGCTTTCAGAGCTTGCTTCGTAATATCCACCATAGTGTAGGACCATATGTGTTCCCTTAAAGCAGCTTCTCACCAAAAGCAGTGACTAAAGCAGCAGTAAGAGAAACTCCTCTCTTTGCTTTTTAACCATTAATATCACTTCTGATGTGGCTCAAATATTTTGCTGATAGATTCTAGATGCTCTTCAGTGTCAGCGCAGTTTGTTACCTTTAGCTCATCATCAAGAGTCAGCAGCCAGGGTCAGGATTTTGCAAGCAGTTAAAAATTCTAACAAAACAATCTACCTCCTGCCACACTCCTACTCCCCCCACTCAGTTGTCCCACTCAACTCAACTCTCTGTCACCTAAAGCACTCATGCCCCACCTATAAATTAGGTAGCACGATTCTGAAATGGTCTTAACAGCAGTAAGTCTGCATTTGTGCTGTGCCATATATTTGCACACCAAATAGAAACCTGGCCCTACAAACCCTGGTGAATTCAGTGGCATTCCAGGACATTTCAATTTCAGGAGATTTGAAAAAAGTTGTCCATAAATAATTACTGACAGCACTGAAAAAAAAAGTTTATTTCCTTATCTGAGGATATGAGGAAGGGGGCAGGATATATGGAATGCTTCTACTATAATATTCTTTGTATGCCACATCTATTGCATCCTTTTCCTACATTTTTTTCTCTCTCCTACCCAGGCAATATACAGTCTAGAATTTAATTTCTGGACAGTATTTTGTGGTGATCAGCACGATATTGATTACAGGACATGTAGTCTTCAGTTAATCACTATTTCATAAAACACATCTACATTTTAATTTTGTTATCCCTTATCTTTCAACTTCTCTCCAGAGGTGAATTTTGTTTTTCTTTCCTTCCCACACCCTTATGCAAGAACTAAGATAATTCTCTCAGCTATTACACTGTAGTTATTTCCCTCAGATAACTTCTGTACCCAAACACAGAAGCAAATATTAACAAAACTGCTGGGCTGGAAAGAAACATTTTCTCTCTCTCCCCACAGATGTAAACCCTAAAATAAGTTTGCCCTCTAAAGCCTACTAGCCTGTCAGAACATGAAGGCTGTCTAAACACAACATTTTGAAAACCATAAAAAATAAATTGGGGTACACTCCAGTTACAGCCATAGCCCTCTTCTCATTAAATACATGTCACTACTGTGACCAGTGATGGAAAAATGGCCTCCACGTGGTATAAACACAGAATAAAGATACATATAAACCTGCAGCCTTGGCAATCTACTACAGACACTGGAAGTTTTAAGTGATTGGCAACATTAAGGTTAGAAAAAAAAAGTAATTTATAAGGTTAATTGCTGTGTTCACTAATTCACTCTATCACAAAGGCTATATTAAACAAAAATAATTAAAAAAAGAATTCCTAGCCATTTAAAATATATTCAACCACATGAATAAGTAAATGTAACTGAAGTTATCACACAGCCAGTATACGTTAGATACTCTCCAACTAACGTGAAGCATGGCTGTGTGCTGAAGAACTGAACTGTCATACCAAACAGGCAAGGTTAGTAGATACTTGACCAAAGGAATATGCAATTTAACCATGAAATTTCATGACATTCAGGAAAGCCAGAGAGATTACATTCTCAATGTTTCTAGAAAAACTAAATTCACCTTTGTTTCAGATCCATGGAAATTAGGGATAGAAGGGACCCATTAGGTGGTTTCCCTGCAACTGCATAAGTTTTCTTTTCATCTGCTCTCAAGCCCTTATATTCCAAGAAGCTATTTGCTTACCACTCCCTTTCAGAAACTAATCCATAAAGCAGTAAGTATCATAATGTAAAAGTTTTATCCAATAGCCTAAATTTCCATCCCATTAAATTAATCCAAATATCTCTCGTTTTACTCTTTTGTATTACACTAACTCAACTCCCTCTTTGCTGGTAACACCCTTCACATATCTCTAAATCTTCTGTTCTCCTTTAATAATCAATTTAACTAAATGATAATCTTTTAATCTCTCTTCATAAACAATCCATTATTCAGCTTTATGAAAACTCTGGTTCTCCCCTGCACTTGCTGCAATTTATCAACATCTTGCTGATAATCTGGCACTTACTTATTCTGAGCTCTGACAACTAAATAAAACAAAATAATAAAGCAGTAAATCTGTCAATAGCATTTGAAGTCAAAGCACAAAGGAAAGGTCTGAAAGACTAAGCAAATGATAAATCCAGGCTTTGACTCAAAGTCAAAGTGAAATACAGTATGATGGGACTGCATCATCATCATCAACCTTGATGTGGATAAAGGATAAAATTCTGCAAGACTTCCCTTGACTACAAAATGTACTCAAGGAGGCAAAGGCTGAAGCCCTGCCACGCAAAACTGAAAAGTCAGTCCCTGACAGACAGCATTAAGTGATTCATAGGAGAACAATGTCCAGAAAAGAAGAATGAGCAAATATGGATGGCAAGAAATACATCAGTTGAATGGGTAGTGTTTGGGGTTTTTTTTTGTTAAATTGTTCTTTAAAAAAAGAAACCAAATACAGACTTAATTAGTACACTATCTGTATGAGGGTAGGAAAAGGAAAACATTTTAAGAATACGTTAAGAACACTTGTCTGAGGTGTTCTTCAGTAAGGGAAGGAAGCCAGATTTCGAGGCAGTGTCACTGATAAAAGAATCAGTGGGGGAAAAAAAAAAACAAACGCGAACTCAGTCCTGTACAAAAGGGACCATAGACAACCCTGCAAGTTATCATGAGATTTCTCAAAGGATGCTTAATGAACATGCTGAAGCTTCTCACAGCAACTCTAATAGCTTACACAACATAATAGTCATCTAATGTGTTAAAACCTATTGGATTCTACTCTGAGCTACAGTCTACATTAGCACTGGAGAATGGTAAATTCATCATGCTTTACTGCAAACAATCTTGTTAAACACAACATTCCCAAGAAAGAGGGTGAACATACCGCTTTTGTGCTTATTCAGAGTATTACTGTTTCCCCTGGCTTGATTTTAGTAACACGGCAGGACTTTGCGTCTAAAATTTAATGGTTCCACTGCAGAAATTATTCACTAAGCAAACAGATAACTTGGAACAGACGGATAAAAATAATTCTGAAAAGCTGGGCTCCCTTAAATGATTCCATTTAAATCTTAAGTAGCCTTACAAAAGATATATATATAACTGCGTTATAAATTAGGAGCATTTAAAATACAATAAAAATGGTTTACATAAAGCAGGATTAAGAGTCTTGCACCCACAGAAGATTCTCACAAGCTTATTCAATGCTACTTTTGAAGTCTAATTTTGAAATGTTGTCAATGATAGCTACAGTTTCTCTAGCAGTAGAAAAATAACCTCAGAGTTGACAGTGATGCCAAACAATAGTTTCAACTGGTATTTTATCAAACTGCACTGAAAATGGTATGGCTGCCACCGAGAAGAATGCACAGAAGATGCACAGCAGTATGCCAGGTCTAACACCCCTTCGACAACGACACTGAAAGCAATTTAGCTGTGTTTGCATTAGTGAAATTGTTTCCAACAGATGTAAAAGGGAGGCACAGAGACTTGCAGCTGACAGCCATTGACCACTCCAAGTTAAAAGCATTTTAAATTTAAAAAAAAAAAAAGCATACATTTATCACTCCTTTCATACTGTAATAACTACCTTTATGTTTTTAGTACAGTGAACATACCTCATTTTTCCTAAACAAAGAAATAGTATCTCGTTTTAAGGTTAGTATGTCCCCTTCTCAAGGCACTATTTATATTAATCAGCTTAACGGAGAACAATTTGCTCAAATCAGCATTTAGTATTGCAAATCTAAAAATATCTGTGATGCAAATTCTTTAAAAGATCATAAGCATAGTATATGCAAGATGTGCATACTGCTATCATAGAAGAAAAAATGTAAAAAAAAAAAATTAAAGGTATGTGTTTAGGTGAAGTCAGTAACATTTTGTGCTACAGGGAGGATTTATTTTCAACATGCTATACATACAGGAGCTAATTTCCTGAGCCTATATAGCAGGTTTTGATTTCATATGAGGAAAAAAAAAAAAAATCAGAAATACAACATTTTTCTCTGAATCTTCTGAAAGTCACACCATCTTCAATGAAGTATCAAACGTACCTTCCAGGGAAGGTCACATTTTCAGCATCATTCTGGATACCAAGCTTATGTGAGAGATTATAAACACTTAGCAACGAGCTGAGCAGCACCCTTCTCCTCTGAGGATTCTGAGCGTGACAGTGAACTAGTGAAGTACTCACTGGAAAACTGAAAGGCAAATCCCACAAGGAGGCTGTAGGCAGCCAAGCAGCAAACACCCCTCTCGTAGCAACTGCCTCCTTTATTTTGCACAGGTGAGCAGCCTGGTAAGTGGGCAGCAAAGTTTTAGAGACCGATTCAGAACTGAACAGGTTTCACCAACTGCAGCAACTTGTGAGGAACTCTGAATGAAGGAGAGCCTATGGTTGAAGTCAGGAGCAGAAAAAACTGAAGTGACATTTTACTACACACCCTGGTAAGGTTTGATTATCGACCTCACTCCTTGTGTAGGAGTTCAGTGAAACAGCTTCACTTTAATGTTTTCTGTAAATTCAATGACCATTTGTTATGATGATTCCTGTCCATTTTGGTGACTGGGCTTCAGTCAAAAAAACATTTACTGAGCAAAGGGTACAAATAAGATAAACATTTACGGATCAAGCCTGTATAAATATTTATCTTCTGAAACACACTGCATGAAACCAGGCATGAAACCAGCAAGCAACATCAGGATGGCCCTGCAGGACATATTTTTAAAAGTATTAATGACATGTTTATTCTATTATTGGTTTTTAGACCTACTCGAGCATAGGTCTCTGACTGCACTCTTGCTATTCTGTGCACTCCAAGGCAAGGCTAAGCAGTCATCACTTTAACTGAGACAAAAAAGTAGGGTCCTGCCATTCATATTTCCCTCTGTCCTGAGATGGAGATGACAAAAGGTGTCAGATGCCTGTGTCCTAAATTTTGTTCTATTATTTGGTGGCTCTCTCCAAGACGGCATGGCTGAACTGGCTATGGAAAACACTGACCCGGCAAGATCTAAACCCGAATCAGCTCCAGGCACTATTCAGACAAAACTCTTGACAACTCCTGGTCTCTGTTTCCTTTTGAAGTCAACTTCTGAACACTGCCAAGAAGACTTCAAACAGTTCATCTCCAGCCATCATTCTCTTCCTATGGAGAAGGGTGAGGCCATTCTCCTATTGACAGCGTTTCTGTCTGGCAGGATATCAGGTGCTGGAGCTGCAGGAACTGAGAAGAACAACCAGTCCTTGTATTAATTTCGTTCTCCATAGCAACAGTAATATTGCTCTTGTCTCCTTAACCATTCCCATAGTCCTCTTCCAGGTTGGAGCAAACTTGGAGCTGGTAATACGACCTCCAAGGTAATACCTAATTCCCACTACAAAAATGCTGTTGTAATTCCAGACTGCTCATACCTGAGCGTAGATTAGCAACGGGTTTTGGTGGTTTGAGTTTAGGGTAATGGGAACTTGTGGAGGGTCAGATTAACAATTGCCAATTTGAATGATGCTACTAGGTAAGAATCATTAGCAGACTTATTAAAAAAAATTAACAGTCAGACCAGGAAAATACACAATGATGTTATTTACCAGAAGAGCTCCCATAAGGATGCTTTGCCTTGCAAAGTCAGTTACAAAACAGAGCATTGTTTTGCCTTGATTTTTTTTCCCTGTCTCCTCTAGAGGTTACTGGTGCGAAGTGCATTGCACAATACAAGTTCTGCAGTGGCTGATCGGAATGAAAGACGTTCAGGGCGACTGAGACAATCCAGCCACCTCTGTACACTTCAGAGATCTCCCTTTGCAAAACATACCTCCTTAAATACTAAAGTCACTGAAGTCTAAAGGGCCTGGAGGCTGAAGTACTTGTCACCTTCACCTATTTTTCCTGCACCTGACAGGGAATTAACAAGCCTGCATTACAGCGTATTCCTTCAGTTAAGCCATCAGTGTGCTCCACTCAGAGTTTTGAATCTCTTAGCGGGAATGAAATTGCAGGGAACCTCACTTTGAGCATGTGAAGAATGGACATCTTGAATTAAACAGAACTGGAAAGTCTCCTAGTTGGAGCTGAAATGGCAGTACTTACTGGCTATTCTGGAAAAAAAAATAAAATTAATGAAAATCAGCTATTCTTTGTTCTTGACCATGTATCTGCTTTGCAGGGACCTTTCTTCAGGCTCCATATTCCCTGTCTGTCTAGACTGCAGAATCTGTTTCCCAGAGTCTGCTTTTGATTCTTTATTCAAAACAGACCCTGTCTTTCAGCGACACTGTCATGTCCTCGAAGTCCTACAGATCTTCAGTGCTTTGAGCACTCTCCACAGTGTTTTGCAAGGGATAACAAACTAGATTTTTACCAAGGGAAGCTAATTCATCAAAGGAAAAGCTTTTCTCCCCGCTTTACCCTTCTTAAGGACTCTGCTGCGACACTTCTCTCCTGCAACTTCTTTCCAATATCTAATTCACTAAATACATATCTTCACACTGCAGTGGCTGTTGTTAAGACAAACTACATTGTCACCTCATTGCAAAAATCATGTGAAAATCGAGGGCTTCTGAACGGCTCCACCTAAATGCTGGTTTTAAAGCTGAGAAGGGTAAGCAGCCCTACAACAGAAAGGACAGCTGAAGTAACAGATACAGACCAGTAATCAAAACAAACAAACAAATAAATAAATAAGAAGGCAGCACAGGATAGCAGTGGAGGATTGCCAGGATGATGGGAAGTACAGATGTATCCCTACAAACCTTATTACACAGTACTCAAACCTGAAATTAGTTAATCCATTAAAAAGTGAATTGTCTAAGCCTTGGACAGTTGTTTTGAAAGAAAAACAGTACCGTGGATAGGGTACATTCTAGAGAACGGGGAACTTGGTGCACACTCCCTCTTTTCATTATGGTTGTATGGACCTCTGTATCCATTCACTGAAATGTGCGAGTCTTTCCTTTTGCCTAATGCTGTAACACATTAGGGGTTTAAAAACTATACAAGAACTGAGTTTCATATTTTCAGAGAGAGGAAACCTTTGTGCTGTACCATCCAAAGAAATTACAACTTCGCTCTCCTTCTACCCACCTATTGCTTTATCTAAAACAAACTGCCAAAATCTCTAAATAGAACAGTGAAATAAAAGAACATGAAGTACTGCATAGGTGCTATTAGCATATTAATCTGCTCAACTAAGAATTGTCAGTGTCTCATTACAAGCAATTTTTATTAAAATGTGCAAGTGAGATCCAAATTACAGATTTTATAAACAAATTAACATTCATTTGAAAACAGCTAACTACAGACAAGTGGTTTCACTTGCAAGTGTGATTTTAGATAAGCATAAAGAATGCAAGGCTTTGTTTTAAAGGGAAATAATTTATGCTACAAGGACCTATTGCACCATCCCATCTAATTGAATCCAGCCACTAAATCATGAGTACCATAAACATTCTTCCTGTTAGCATTAGCAATACAATGTATGCATTCTAGAACCCTACTCAGATATTTCTTCTATAAGCATAACACTGATAACAAATAAAACATGATTCTACCATAGGGCAAAAATAATTATTATAAACATACATCCCTTTATTATGTCAGTCTTGCTAAGAAGAAAGTATTTTTAAACAAGCATGCAAAAACTATGTAAGTACATTAAGACAGAATGATATAATTTAGAAAATAATAAGTTAGGGTAATGATGTGTATACCTTTTTGTGAAAAACACTGCAGAGGCCTCTCTCTATATCTGGCAGCTTACAAAGAAGATTTCGAATCTGACCAAAGACACTGGATTCTGACAGTAGAATTTCAGACACAGCATCAAGCCGGGCATTTATTTCACTGTAAAAGAATAATCATAAGATCAATAAATAAAACCTTTGTTTCTCTGAGGGGAAGGCATAGAGCTAGTGAACTTTTTCATTTGCCTTGTTTTGTTTGCTTTTTTTTAACTTTGACTAAGGCCACATTCTCATGAGTAGGTTAAGTGGAAGAATTAAGGAATGCAGAGGATCTCGGGCTTTCATTCAAGATGCAACCAAGATCTTGGATATAAGCTCATCATCCCTCTCTATGTGCAAACAGCTAAATATACACTTCAGTGCCCATGTCTACATGTTCTTCTAGTGGTACATGGTATGAGCAACACTGAATCCTGAATGTCCAACCCTAAATTTGCAGATAAGTACCTGGGGGAGGGGCAGGGAGGGCTTACATTTGAACTCTGTGTAGCATACTTTATTCCAACAGGGTATAAACATTGGTCACCATTTTGCCCCTCTACTTTTGATCCAGACCACCAACTGGTAATTACATGAAGCAGAACCATGTTGGGGTTTTGGCTTCCCACCCTGCCTCCCAAAAAAAAAAACCAAAAAAAAAAACCCCTGTAACATTAATCTTCATATTTCAGGACTGAAATCAATCAATGAGGAAACACTTTGCATATGAAAAAAACAATTCTATAATTATTTTCACCTTCCTTACAATCATATTGTTACATCCACTGTCACAAAACAGCTTTAAAATGGACAAGCTACTGTTCACCTTGAATTGACAGTGCTTTTTAATGGCACAGCTACAACTTCCAATATACCCATGAACTGGCTGTAGATTGCTGAGCTAAGGTAAACTCAATTTCTGCTTTTTGTGCAACCAAATTGCCTCAATCCTGCTTTCTAGGAAAACACTGGGATGAGGGGTACATGAATGCATCCAAAACATACAGGTTAGGAGTTTATCTTCAGGAGCTAGTTAACCAAAGCACAGTCAGCCTAAAGGAAACAGAGCAAAAGGTAATGAGCTCACTGTAAGACAGCAGTGAAAGAGACATGTCCAAGATGAATACCACGACTCCTGTGAATGGATCTTTTCCATGTTCAGACTTTATCCCTGAGGTAACTGCATGCACACAAAATAGAGTCAACTAGGTGAAAGCTGTGCTAAGATCTGCTGAGGTTTCACAACAAAGACATCTCCAGATTGTATGTTTCCTCAGAGTCCCCCACCAAACTGCTGCTGGGCACTCTCTATGGGTACCAGCGTGCTGGAATGCTTTAGCTGGCATTTGAAAAGTTCCTGGCAAGTAAGGCTGAATGTGAAACATGATGTTCCAGGAAACTTTAAAAATCCTCAAGACATCTCAGTGCTTATTTCAAAATCCTTGTATTTTATCCCAGAATGACAACTAGGCCTTGTCACAACGTTCCTCTCCTGAGACAAGAAAGTTCAAAAATCCCCACACTGCTACGTGTGAGTCCGTCCATCCTTGCAGGTTAAGAAGAAAGCAGTCTTTTGATACCAACACCTTGTACACCAGCTAAGTGTGTGCAAGGCAAATACAGCCCAGCCCACGTCTGTCCTCACGGACTAGTGACATGCTTAGAGCTCAGCCAGCACAGAGGCATAAAAAGTAAGGATGCAGTCAAAATATAAGATTTCAGGGAAGACTGCCTATCACGCTTACGGCTTTTATTGCAGAAAACTGCCGTGTTACTCTCCACTGTAGCTCCTAACAAATACTATCCATGAGGAAATCGACAAAATTAGGGAGCTCCACAGATTGCAGACATGACAACAGACTGTCAGTCAGAGACCTGCAGCCCTAAAGACAGCTAAATCTGAGTCCTGGAAATTTTATTGCGCAGCATGTGAAAAGGAGAACATCCTGACTGGATGTGCACTTGGATACACATAAATCTAATGGCATTTAAGCGCCAGGATTTTTTCAGTGACATACTGCTTTATATTAAAACAGTAAAACCACACTCTCATCTGTCACAAATGACACATATTCATTCCCAGAACAGCCTTGCTGTACCACACCAGGATTTGCAGTGTCCCACCTGCCACCATCTATGTGGAGCACAGGTAGATGCACTCTCCACAGCCCCTGTAATGAACTGGGGATGGACAGACTCTCTGCCATCTTGACCCCGGGCTCCTTGGGAACTCACTCCGTCATCTCTGAATGGAACAGCAGACTCCTCAGTCACACCACAGGACCCAAAATACTCCACTGTCCTAGAAGACTGCTTTTTCCCAGCCCTGAGAATAACAGAAATGTCACAGTTTGTAAGCTCTGGTTAGCAGCCCTGTGGCAGGTCACAAGAATATCTTTTTCTTCCCCATCACCGTTCCACTCCTCCAGCAATGCCAAATGCACAAAATTAAACATTTCTCCTGCTCCTCTGCACAGCTGGGCAACCTGTGAGCAACAATAGCAGACAGCAGGCACCTCAGCAACTGCTCAGACCTACAGTGTCTGTTTTCAGCACAGAACACATCCAAGCTTTAAATCCAATCCTGAAGAGCCACAATCATCTATCTGGTGTAGACTGGCAGGGTTACAAGAAGTTATGCAACCAAATAACCAAAAAGCAAGTTGTTGGCATCCACACAGCGTATTCAAGACAGCAGAGATTTAAGCTCTGTACATCAATTAGTGAGGCACTCTAAACTACAGCTGGATAACGGAAAGGAAATTGAGAAGTGTTAATATCAGTGACAAAGTAATAAAATACCCTGAGTACGCAGCTTTGAAGCTAGCAAACAGTTACAATGAAATTCTGAAAGGTCAGTATCATCAGCCACAATTACATTTTCACGGAGAATTATTAAATTCACTGTACTTGAGACCCTTCATGCAGAGGAGTCTGCATGAAGGAGTACCTAACTGTTAAATTATAAACACATGTACATTAAAGAAGAAAATAATCTGTATTTTTATTACAAAAAGCACATGAAAGCAGCAGAATTCTGTTCCAGAACACTGTCACTTAATTTAAACAGCACGATTATATCTATGTGGCCAGTTGAAAACACACAGTAATATGTAAAATAGATGCAGATATTAAAAAAAACCTCCTCCCCGCAAAGCTTAATCTGCACTTTAATCATCCTCACATATGGCTATGTTACTGTAGCTCCAGTAATCTAAAACTAAGCATCCAGTTTTTCTGCTTTAATCCCACAAATAAGAAAGGGTCAGGAAAACTGCATCCAGTATCAAATGACCCCTTTTTTCCACCTGTAAACAAAAGATATTGGGATTCCTATTTCAAAAGCCAGAAAGTACAGCGAAGAACTATGTAAAACTACACATGTATGAGGAGGGAAGCACAGGGAAGAGAAGTGATAAAAGCAGACAGATTATGAATTCCAAAGTATGCTTTTAAACTTTAAATATTTATACCTAAACTAATAAACATTTTGTTGAGTCCAAATATATTACACTGATCAGTTGTTAAACCACCTCAAAATAATTTTTTCCTGCACTGCACAGCTTTTCAGTACATTTAATGTACAGTTTGAGGTTTCTAAAAAAAATTCCACCACTATAAAATTTGAATCTAACATCATGCAAAGAAACTCAACAGTTTATGCTAAAAAAACTGTCTCACATTTTATAAACCGGCTACTACTTCATTCTCTAATTAGGTGCAATATTAGCCTATTCTTTCCCATCTGTACAAACCGTGTCAGCAATCTGAGCTCCATCCAACTTTCCAAATAATCTTCTGTGAAATAACGTAACAGAAGTCAGTTGACTAAAAGCAATACGCTTACTTCTGCCGTGCTCTCCATCTAAGAATAGCATCATTAATACAATACTAAAATAACTTTGCAATGTATTTAAACATAATAAACTCTAAATGCAGAATTTTTTATTCTAGTCATTTAAAAGAACTACTTGAAATTAAATCACGAGATATTCCCCTGTATTATTCTGCTGCCAAAAATGTGAACAATATAGAATACTAGCAAAAACAAAAATATCCGAATCTTGAACTAAAAACGATTTTGACAAAGGAGAAGGCTGCAGATATAAATGTGCTGCTCTGAATTAACATCTGAACATCTTAACAATCTAAATAGCATTGCTGGTTGCTACTGTGCTAACAGATCTGCTGATCTCTCGTACCGTGAAGCAAATCTAATATTTTTAGATGCGATAATATATCATTACATTTAAAGCAGAGTGAAACCGATAATGTAACTGCTACATAAGAACTGCAGAAAACTTTCAGTCATATAAGGTTTTATTTTTATACAAGAGAAATAAATACAAATTAATCGGGAATCTCTTAACTTATAATAAGTGCATGAAGTATGAGTTCATTCATCACGGTAAGGACATAGTTCAAGTGCAGTGAATGTATAAAATTGAAATTAATTTTATTAAAGCTGTTTAGAGACCACACCAATATATAAAACTACCAGTGACGAGAACTCAACATGTGAAAAAATATAATGAAGAGTATGAAACAACAAGTGTTGCTTTCCATGAGGTCCATTACCTAGATCAAAGCCTAGCAGTCTCCTGACTAACTAGAGCATTTAAAACAAAAGAAAATGTGTTACTTAAACACTAGGAAAATGCAAGATACCCATGGGTATCAATCACACACCTGAGGGAGTCCCTGAACTGCACATTGCTGGAAGCCAGGAGAGTCCCCTGGGAGCTGATATTACCCAGTGCCCTGTTCTCACACCCTTCTCAGGTACCGGCTACTTTCAAACACAGGACAAGGTAAAGGTTATTCTGACTTCTCTTGCTTTGTATTTTATCCCATTTACACATTTTTTTTCTGGACCTTCCTTCAGAACAGAGTTTACAAATGAAGACTTTATTTGAGTTGATTAAGGCCATTTTAAATAGTACAGGCTGTTTTCTGCTTTAGACCACTCTCTCTCATAACAAGCAATTAATTCCATCAAAACCCAAAGCTGTGGTAGAATTACCACTATGCAATCAGTAAACTGTATACATCTTTTTAAAGAACAAGCAAACAGAAAAAACTACTTAGAGTAGTTAAATTAGAATCTGGCTAACTTTATGG